TTTGCTTCCATTTCACTTCTTTACATGTTGTCACACATTTTATTTTGACATGGTATAGCAATATAATACATTACTATTGTTTTGATTTAAATACTCAATTGTTTTTAACTTGCCTTGAATGACAAGAAAGATAGCATGTTGTAATCACCCATATTGTAGTTTTCTAGTGTTCTTCACACTTCTGTGTGGATCCAGATTCTCCTCTTGTATCATTTTCCTTCTGCTTGAAGCACTTCCTTTACCAGTCAACACATCCCATGAATAGAATCCTGCTAACACATTCTCAATCATCTTAAAGCCTGAAATACTGTTTATTTTTCTTTACTTTTTAGAAAGTTTTTATTTGGTATAGTACTACAGGTTGATCATGTTTTCCTGTAAGTAATCTAGGAAAATCAACTGTTTCCTGCCTTACATGGTTGCTACTTGCAGGGGTACTGTGATTCTTCTCTTGGACTCTCTGTATTTAATGAGTGAGTATCCACCCTGCCTTCCCCTCCCCGCCCTTAGCATTTAGAATTAGCTCTTCATCACTGGTGTTCAGCCATTTGTTTCCATAATGTACTTTGCTATAGTTATATTTTTTTCTTCACATTATCATGCCTAATACTTGTTTGTCTGCTGAGATCTTTGCATTTATTAATTTCCCCAAATTTGGAAAATGTTCAGCCATTAATTTTCTAGTTCAACATAAATCAGACCCCTTGCTGTTGTCTCAAAGCTCGTGCTCCTTAGTTTAAATGATTTTCCGAGTTTGGTTTTGTTTTGGCTGGTTTCTAGTACTGTGTGTTTAGTATCACTGCCCCCTTCTCTTGCAATGACTAATCTGTTAATGTCTTCCAGTGAACACTTCAGATGTTTGTAACCACATCTTTCAGGTCTCTTGACATGCTCATGATTTTTTGCTAACTCTTAAACATAAGGAGTATATAATATTTGCTTAGAATCTTTTGTTCCAGTTCAGTTATTCCTTTCTTTATCTGAGTCTGATCATTTTCTCATTATGGACATTATTTTCATGCTTCTTTGCATGCCCAGTAATTTCTCTATATTCTCGAAGGTTGGTAATAATGTCTGAGTCTCACCACGATTGTATGAGTTAAGTGATACCATGTAATGAAATTGAAATTTGTTCTTGTTACTCTTTCCTAAAGATTTATTCTCATTCACCTACACTTTATTTCCTCGCTTTGCAAAACAAAAATTTCTGCTAGTGTTTAAAACTAATTCCTCCGCCAGTGCTGTAAATATTGCTTTAGGGACATTTTAATGCTGACTGTTCCTTACTCTTCAAATGATTTTCATTTCATCTTTTCAACCTCTCCTCCTCATCAGGGCTACCGGTAATCAAATCTTTCTCATTGTTAAATGCACACACCCTGCAGTTGATGACTTCTCATCTTCTCTCCAAGCCCAGTTTCTGGAAACATTAAGAATTCACCTCAGACTCACTCTTAGGAAATGCCTTCATTATTCACTGTGTCCTGACTCTCCACCACCGCGGCTCATGCTCTTGTGTTTTGTAATTTTCCGAGGCTGCTTTTCCTTAGGAGAGGATGCTGTCGTCGTCCAGCCTCCTGTGCGCTGTGTTGAGAAGAGTCTCTCGCGGGTGCATCTGCCTCCGTCTGCCCTGGCAGGCTGAGGGTGTCTGAGAAGCGAGCTTGTTTTCATACTCATTCCTCACTTTGGCATCAGGACTTGGGTGACGATTTGTACATGGAACTCTAATTTGCACACATTATAGTTCCGGGATTAGAGTGACTGACGAGTCACTTTTAAGAAATTTACTGCCCGGTGAGGTTTTGCTTATTCTGGCGTTTGCAGTGGGTTCTACTGGATTTACCCAGCGCGTTCTCTTCTCTGTGAAGAACTTCATTGTGCGCAAGCTTCGTCACGCGTTCTCCAGCAGGCTTGAAGCCCCAGTCTCTTCCCGACAGTGTGATTCCACTAGCCAGTGGGCCGCTTGCTTTTTTTGTTTTGTTTTGTTTTTACAGGCAGAGTGGACAGTGAGAGAGAGAGACAGAGAGAAAGGTCTTCCTTTGTCGTTGGTTCACCCCACAATGGCTGCTGCGGCCGGCACACCGCGCTGATCCGATGGCAGGAGCCAGGTACTTCTCCTGGTCTCCCATGGGGTGCAGGGCCCAAGCACCTGGGCCATCCTCCACTGCACTCCCGGGCCACAGCAGAGAGCTGGCCTGGAAGAGGGGCAACCGGGACAGAATCCGGCGCCCCAATCGGGACTAGAACCCGGTGTGCCGGCGTCGCAGGCGGAGGATTAGCCTAGTGAGCCGCGGCGCTTGCTTTCAGTGTGCACTCTCCTCTCTAGCTCTGAGTACCCCCTCATAGCAAGAGCTCCCTGTTGAAAAATCTGTCTACCCACTTAATTTTGTTATTTCTTTTTTATTCACATTTTGTTATTTATGTCAAAAAAGCAGAGGGCATTTCTGCCCCTTGCCATGTGCTGGTAGCCTGAATCCTCCTGTAGTTGTGCTTTTAGTATTTGTCTGAAGACAAGGAGCACATGCTCTGTTTTCCCAGAGCGAGGGTTCCTCTCTTCTTGACTGATGGTGTGCTAGCGCTTCGTGACTTTGCACACACAGCCAATCGCTCTCCTCCATGCCACTCTTCCCAGCACCAACACTTTACTTCCCAAGGCCTATTACTGACTCTCATGTGCCATCCGTGGGTAATTTCATGACTTCGGCTGTAATGGTTTAAACATTTCTATTATCAGATCTCTTTCTCCCTCCATCCCTCCCACCCTCCCTCCCTCCCTTCCTCCCTCCCTTCCTCCCACCTCCCCCCCCCCCCCCCCATGATTCAGAGTGCATTTATCTAACTAATAGGTATCTGGTAGGTATTTCTCTATGAAACACCTTATCAAAACCCAGCTTGCTTCCACGGGCCGCCTGGCTACCCCTCCTCCCCAATGCCACCCTCAGTGACCGCTTGTGATTCTCTGACTTTGTAATGCCAGGAAATGGGAACTCCCTTTCTCTCCTTATTCAGGTTGCTGCTCAGGGAATCCTCCTCACTTCCCGTCCCCCAAGCCTGCACGCTGAAGGACCCAGAGCAGTTTTTCCCTTAAGTCTCTGGACTCTGTTCTCTCCATGTTTGTTCACGCGACACACGAGCAGAGCTTCCTGGTGAGATTCTTGGCACGCGGGCCCGGGCCTCTATCTATGCCACTCTACAAGGAAATACACCGAGCCTGGCATCAGACATGCTCTACTCTAGAGAACTTTGGCTTAAAATCCCGTACACACACTGCTTGCACCGTGCCATCTTGTCCCATCTTTTCGGGAAGAACTGTTAGTTATCATCCAGGACTCCCATGACCAGCTCCCCAGGAGGCTTCTCAGACCCCAAGGCTGATTGTTCCTGCTTGTGCCGGTGCTGTCACAACACATAGGGCAGCAGGCTTCACCTGTGGACGTTTCTCTGAACCCATCAGTATATCCATGGACGGTGTCTTGCATGTGGTAGGCACTTAGTAACAATTTGCTACGTTTTTAGAGAATAGTCAATTTCTCTCTGCCTTTGTCCTTGCATCCAAAACCAGTGTAGTGTTATTCTGACAAAAAAAAATATTCCCCACTCCAGGTATGGTTAAAACAATCTAGATTTTATAAACAAATTACCTGTGGATCCTTGCAAGATGTATCTTGAATGCAACAGTTAAAGGTACAGGAAATGTTTCTTTCAAAATGTGTTACAATGTTCATTATGGTTTCTCTTCAAGGATTTAGGGGTTGAATGAAAACAAAGTCTGCTGAATAGTGCTTGCTCAATGCTTTTAAAAATTTCAAAAATGTAGTCATTATGCCAAACAATAATGCTTGGAGTTACATGCTTCATTATGTAACCATCCTACATAATTAAATAAAGTGTGAGAGTGCTTTTAACTTTTATTTCTGAACATTTTTAGGAGTTTATGTGATTTTATTTTCATGAATACTTTAGCTGATTTCTGGGTAAAGCTTCATCACAGGGAAATATTTAAAATGATCTTCAGAGATATTTTACATGGAAAGATTAATTATTTACATATATTACCATGGCAACCATATATCAAAGTATGACAAGCATGGACTGTACTGCTCTTTCCCTTAGATCCCCAAATTAATGTAGTGATCTTTGATGGCAGTGGTATATATGGAACACCAGAACAGAACTAGAACAAAATATTTTGCATAAACTCTATTAAAATATTTTCCTTAAAAATTTATTTGTATGGTGCTTTAAAACTGTGGGTACATGTCTTCACACATTTCTCAAGACCCATGGAATGAGCTGTAAAATAAGCCATGGAATTTAATTAATAATAATAATATACCAGTTCTGGGTCACATTGACAACAAATGCACCTCTGTACCCCCAGGAAGCCAATGAGAGGAGAAGCAGGTACAGAGAAGGAGCAAAATGGGTGCTCTGTATTCCTGTTCAATTCTTCAGCAAACCCAAATTCTCAAAAAATAAAGTCTAATTTTTTTTGAAAACCACAAAAATTTATATTTGAGATCACAATGATAACGATGTTATTTATTCAATAGAAGGAAGAATACATCATTTGATATCATGTGCAAGATCACTGACAGTTTGAGATGGTACAATTTTAGTTGCCTGTGAGATAAATTGTCTGTTATTTTCTTTGCCTCAGCTCCAATACAGGAAAGAATTTGATAAAATAGAGAAAAAGATGACGAGTTAATTCTCAGGAGAAGTTGATGATGTTTTCTTTTGAAGTCATAGAATTTCTTTGTTTTGGCAGCCACGTGTATTGTGTATGTGTGTGGTTTCAGTCACTGTAATTGAGTAGACTATTACCGCTTGTCTGGGGCTGGGACGTGCTGCCTCCAATTCGCTTGGTGAGATGCTAAAGCTCAGGTCCTCAGACTGAGACTTTATGTGGATACAGAGTCTTTCAAGAGGTTTCTGAGGTTAGATGAGGTCGTCGGGGTGGGCCCTGACCACTGCGATTGATGTTCTCATGAGGACAGGAAATTGGGGCCCAGAGAAGACCCTATGAAGACACGAGAAGAACCAGGAGGAAGCCAACCTTCTGACACCTGGAGCGTGGACTAAGAGCCTCCAGAACTGTAAGGAGGGTTCCTTCTGGTGTTCACCTTACCCTGTATGTGTTACTTTGTTAGGGCAGCTCACACAAACTGACGTGTCCCTGTTGGAAATCAGCAACAGGGAATCCCTAGGAGAACGTGACCTTTCAAGGAGAAGAGCCATCGTTGGAACATCCTCACTCCTTGAAGTCTGAAGCTTAGGATGTTGCTGAGGGTAAGTTGTTGAATAGATGAATTCCTGTGTTTTTCACCCATGTTTCTCAGTTTTGGGTGTTGTAGATTTCTTTTTTTTTCTTTAAAGATTTATTTTATTTATTTATTTGAAAGAGTTACAGAAGTAGAGAGAGACAGAAAGAGAGGGAGAGAGAGGTCTCCCATCCTCTGGTCCACTCCCCAGATTGCCATAATTGCTGGAGCTGCAGGAGCCAGGAGCTTTTCCCCCAGTCTCCCACATGGGTGCAGGGGCCCAAGGACTTGGGCCATCTTCCACTGCTTTCCCAGGCCATAGCAGAGAGCTGGGTCGGAAGAGGAGCAGCTGGGACTCGAACCAGTACCCATATGGGATACCGGTGCTTCAGGCCAGGACTTTAAGCCACTGCGCCAAAACACCAGGGCCGGTGTTGTAGATTTCAACAACAGATTCAAGCTAGCTTAAACAACAAAGGAAGGAAGGAAAAGAAAAAGAAATTTGTAAGAAGGATACTGGGAATGTTCGTTGACTAGGACTTGGGTGTGGACTCAAACCCATAACTGCAAAGCTCACGGTTGTTGAGAGCAAACTCTATGTTTTATCTATTTGTCCTCCTTTCCTTGTATTCCTCTTTCCTTGTATTCCTCTTCCTCCTCTCAGTGAGTCCATCACACTTTTGTTGCTTAGCATGTACATGGCTTCTCCATAGCCCATGGTCTCCATTTAAGTGATTAGTCCACACTAAGTCTCCTTCTTCTGTTCTAATTCCAGGATCCTAGAAAATAGGAAATAGTAAACTCAGGTTAAGGGTCAGAATTTCGTTAGAAAAAAAGTATCTGCTGCCAGGGATATATGGGCTACAGTAGCATGAGTTTTCTTAGAGAAATGCTACCCCAGTAAACTTGGATAACTAGTAAAAATATTAGGACATCAAAATCGAAAGTGTTGGGCTGGCGCTGTGGCATAGTGGGTAAAGCAGCAGCCTGCAGTGCCGGCATCTCATATGGGAATTGGTTTGAGTCCTGGCTGCTCTGTTTCTGATCCAGCTCTCTGCTATGGCCTGGGAAAGCAATAGAAGATGCCCCAAGTGCTTGGGCCCCTGCACCCACGTGTGAGACCTGGAAGAAGCTCCTGTCTCCTGGCTTCAGATCAGTGCAGCTCTGGCTGTTGGGGTCATCTGGGGAGTGAACCAGCAGATGGAAGAGCCCTCTCTCTCTCTGCCTCTGCCTCTCTGTAACTCTGCCTTTTAAATAAATAAATAAATCTTAAAAAAATTGAAAGTTCCATATAATTTATAGCTACTCAATAATGTAAAATATTTAATGTAAATCTAGTAAAACATGCATAGCACTAGTATGCTGAAAACTGTAAAACATGAATGAGATAAAGATCTAAATAATTGGAAATATGTGTGTATTGTAGATATGAATACATGAAATATTTATGGCTTGGGAGACTAAAGATAGTAAATATGGCTTTTCTCCCCAAATTATTATGCTTGGATGTCAAAATTCCAGTCAGCGTTTTAGTTACAAGGGACAGGATTATTCTGTTTTAGGTGGAAATGCAAATAAACTAGAATAGTTTTACAATTTTGAAAAGGAGAAAGTGAGAAGGATTAGTCATTAGTCAAGACCAAGTGTTATTTGCTCGCCTTGGCCGGTGTGACGGACTCGAGGGCTCAGGAGCCCATCCGTAGGAACACGCCTGGGTAGTTTCTGATAGGAAATACAGTGCCGCTGTGACGCAGTCCCTGAGGAAAGAGGGCCTTCACACAGGTGGTGCTGCAGCTAATGAACCTCCGTGGTCAAAGCATAACAGAGAACACTGACCCGAACCCCACATCTTGTGTGAAAGCAGGCAGAAAGCAGAAGACTCCTAGACAAAGATGGAACAACCTAGGGACAGGCAGGTTGGACAGCGAAGTAGGATGCATAAAGGAGAAACCTGACACGCTGGGATTCATCACCAGGAAAACTTTGCCCTACAAATGACCCTGTTACGATGATGAAAAAACAAGCCAGAGACCTGGAGAAACACAGTTACAGATCTAACAAAAGAGTATTATATAGAGTGTATAAAGAGTACTAGAGACTCAATCATTAAAAAGCAAAATGGAGCCGGCGCCGTGGCTCACTAGGCTAATCTTCCACCTTGCGGCGCCGGCACACCGGGTTCTAGTCCCGGTCGGGGCACCGGATTCTGTCCCGGTTGCCCCTCTTCCAGGCCAGCTCTCCGCTGTGGCCAGGGAGTGCAGTGGAGGATGGCCAAGGTTCTAGGGCCCTGCACCCGCATGGGAGACCAGGATAAGTACCTGGCTCCTGCCATCGGATCAGTGCCGTGCGCCGGCCGCAGCGGCCATTGGAGGGTGAACCAACGGCAAAGGAAGACCTTTCTCTGTCTCTCTCACTGTCCACTCTGCCTGTCAAAAAAATAAAAATAAAAAATAAATAAAATTTAAAAAAAAAGCAAAATGGATTAGAACATGAGAAAAAGATGTGAACAAATAAGTCACGAAAGACAATATGCAAATGACAAGCTCATAAACAATGTTAACCATCAGGACACACAGATTAAAACAGCAGTGAAATATCACTATGCCCTATCATAATGATTAACAGCAAAAACAGTGGCGGCACCGAATACTGTTGGGTACGAAGCAGAACTGGATTACTTACACGTCGGTGGTAGGAACGTAAAATAGTCCAAACTCTGGAAGATAGCTTGGTCATAGCTTAGAGAACTGAGCTTGAGGATTATATTTAACGAGTGTCTACTGTGTTCCGTTCGCTCTGCTGCCGCCTGAGGGTTCCCAGGGAGGGATGTATATGAGTCAGACAGCCCTTGCCCTAAAGCAATATCCAGCCTGAAGAACAGGACAGATGTATTAACACATGATTTCAATATAACGTGATTGCAGCTGGACTGCTCCAAAAACAGAGAGAGTAGCTGGAAGGAGTGGAAAAGCAAAAAACATAAATGGATTATCACCATTGTTATTAACTCATTTCCTTAAATTTATGAGGTTGTGATGGCCCTGGAAAATCAAAGGCCCCGGTTTTGGTACTCGTGTTCAGTGGGAAGCGGAACAGTTAGACTTTCTGCCTCCAGAGTGGCTCTTTAACTGAAGACTGCAAAAGAATGCCTGACGTCAACTAAAGCAACATCCCCAGTGAAAAATGAGTTCATAAATATTCATCGCCATAGTTTCTTGGTTCTATCTGTGACCCTCCATGGACCTTGATAAATAGAAACTAGTGCTCAGGATTTAGCAAGTATTTCTAGGTAGTTTCTTATGGCTGGTTCTAGTATGCAGTGCACTAACACTGTTTTGTGCAGGAGAGCTAAGACTACCTCCTAAGCATGTGTAAATAGCATCCGGTACAGGGTAACAGCCAAAGCTTACATCATTGAATGAAGTGCTGCTTGGGAAACGCTGCAGAAGATGAAACTGAATACCAATTCCCTTAACCCAAATTAGAGCGTCAATTATTCACGTGCTTTGCAGAATGTTAAAGTAATTAAGACTTAAATTAAACTGTTCCAATGTATATTTATGTTAAAGATTTTTACATTAATTTGAAGTAATATATACAATTAAAAATGAAATAGACAGCATCCTACCAAATGAAACATGCCGTGATCAGATCTAGCAGTTGTCCTCCAGGGAATTTATACAAGAGAAATAACAACTTACATTCACACACACAAAAAAATCTGTATGGTGATGTTGATAGTAGTTTTATTCACAATAGTGAGGAAAAGACAACCTACATGTCCCTCGGCAGGTGGACGGTTAAACTGAAGTGACACATGCCTTGGCATAGCAACCAGCACTGAGCCAGGAACACATTTGATGCGTGGAATAACTTGGATGGATCTTAAGGGCATATGTCAAAGGAAGGACGCAATCTCAAAAGCAGATAACTTGTTTTATTCTACCTATTTAATATTCTTAAAATCACAAAATTATAGAACCAAAGAATGTATCAGTGGCTGCCAGGGACTAAGAAGGGGATAGAAGTAGAAGAAAAGTGTGCCAGGCTATAAACGTGCAACATGTGGGATCTTGGTGCTGATGGACAGGTTCTGTGTCATGTCAACATCCCGATCATGATGTTGTGCAAGATGTCACCATCATGGGATGCTGGGTGAAGGGTCCTTGGTGCCTCTGTGTTATTCTGCACGAGAACCCACAATTAGCTCAAAATAAAAATGTTTGCTTTAAAAAATGGTGAAGTGAAGCATAGCAGGTCTAGCGGCCACTTTGCAGCACCATCATCCTCTGTGGGCACTGGTTCGAGTCCCGGCTGTTCCAGTTCCAATTCTGTTCCCTGTTAACGCACCTGGGAAAACAGTGGAGGATGGCCCAAGTGCTTGGCCCCTGGCACACACGTGGGAGACCTGGAAGAAGCTCCTGGCTCCTGGTCTGGCCCAGCCCTGACCATGGCAGCCATTTGGGAAGTGAACCAGCAGATGGAAGACCTCTCTGTCTCTCTGCTTCTCCCTCCTTATCTCTCTCTCTCTGCAATTCTGCCTTTCAAATAAATAAGATAAAACTTTAAAAAAAGGTGAAGTAAATACTGAGTATGTATGGCCAGCAAATGTACCTTACAGGAAATATTAAAGACATTTCTTTAGGCTGAAAGAAAATGACACAAGATGGTAGCTCAAATCTACTTAAAGAAATACAGTACTTGTGGAATTAGTTACATAGGTCAATATAAAAAACAGTGTGCTTATAAAGTTTCTCTTCTTTTTGTCTTAACTGATTTAGAAGATGGTTAAATAGAACCATTATAAAACTGTACTGCTGGGCTTGTAACACATGAAGATACTGGCTATGACAATATTAACACAAAGACGGGACGGAAGTGAAGGCCCATCACAGAGAAGTTCCATGTGTTCCTGGAATTAAATTGCTATCAATTTGAAGTATATTGTGATAAGTTAAGGAACATATTATACCTCCTAGGGCAAGTATGGAGAAGACAGAAAATATTCAGAAAACCAACAAAGGAATT